GATATTGAAAGGATTAGCCCATTTGAGCACGTGGCTCTGACGGGCCTTTCCCTTCTCCCCAATTCCCTCTGCCTTGTTAAAAAACCGTTAGATTGCATTCCTAAAGCTAAGGTGGCTATCCAGGGTCAGAGAGGGAGCCCCTGCTGAGAGGGAGTCTCATTCAGATATGTTGATACAGGCCTCATTTTCTTTTAAAGATCTGAAGATTAACCCATAGTCCAAGACTCTCCAAGGCCATACCAGACTCCTAAAACAAGAGATGAGACCTTCCTCCTCCTAGAGAGGAGTATCTGGCATTAAGGTCCACAGCATTCACAGAATTATCAACAAAGAGGTCTCACCTTTTGATCATATTCTTGGTGTACCAAATGCAAGGGAAAGAGTCCTTAAGAACGGTTTTATAATGTCTGTTCAAGTCCCTTCCAGCCAGGGAACACCGGTAATTCCCCACAATCACGCCATCTGGATTTAGCATGGGAATCACCTTGAAGACAAAGATGTCCCTGAGGAGCTGGGCATCTGGGGAGTTGCTAAGGATGAAGTCCAAAAAGCCTCTCATGATCCAGGAGCCATTGCTTTCTCCAGGGTGGACCCTGGCACTCAGCACCACGGCTTTCTTCGCGGCTGCCTCTTGAGGGGTCCTGGATGGGTTGGTGATGGTGAGCAAGTAGACGGTGTTCCCTGCCAGACTCCGGCACAAAGCTCGGGGCTTGCAGAACTGAGACTGGATGGGGTTGTTTGCTATGGACAAGAGGTAGCATTGCAAGTCGGTGTAAGTGTACGGGTAAAAGTGTGCGAAGAAGCAAGTGTCCTGGTCGTGGGGAAACTGGACGGTCCAGGTCAGGCAGAACAGAGGCTGCTGCCCATCATCCGCGCTGTTCTTGTAGTACTTGATCTCGCGTCCTTCTCTCCTCCAGCCGACGTTGTAGGTGGTGGCGTCCAGCTGAGAGTACATCAGAGGTTTCATCCCCACCGCGTACAGGCTCTTGGGCTTCAGCAAGTTGACAATGGTGAAGCAGTAGGTGACCTCCTTCCTGGTATTCTGAACTCTAAAGTAGAACCACTGGGTGTGTTTGTCCGTGTAGAGGTCGGTCCGCAAGGTGAGCTCATACTCATAGGCACCTCTACAATGAGAAGAAGAGGGAAAGAGCATCTCTACAACCTCATCCCCCTCCCCCTCAAGGCCAGCATGGGAAAGGATGGTTTTCTCCGGGTATAAACGGGTCGACCACAACTGCCTCTACAGCAAATGCGTCTTCTCTAGTTTACCCACCTCTCCAAATCACACAATAACTGGTGGAGCCTGCGGAAGGAAACTTTGGGACGGAGAAGGAAGAGTCTCCCATCTCTCTGTGAGCTGGGTGTGGTGGGAGGATCATCATTTCCAAGCCAGCCTGGACTATACAGTGAATTCAAGGCTAGTCTGAGTGATCTAGGCTTTTTGAAGTTAGGGAAACCTTGTTTCAAAAAGCCAAACAAATTTACTCTTGCATGGGACGTTTGGAGGTTCTGTTAACTTCTTGGTATCTTTCTGGAGCAACTCCTAGCGGTTTCTAATCACTGCACACTGACCAGCGCCCTCTCTCGGCTGCCTGCTAGCTATCCATCTTACAGATGAAGTCACATTGTGAAAACGCCATCCCCATCGCTCCAGCCCCTGGGTTCAATCAGTTTTTGTTTGTTTTGGGACAAGGTCTCTCTCTTTCTAGCCCTGGAACTCACTAGGTAGACCAGGCCAGCCTCGATCTCACAGAGAACCACCTGAACGTCTATGCTTAAGCAAAACTCCTCCTCCTTCCGAAACTTGAGTAGGTGTGATTACAAACAAGCACATGCCACTGTGCCCAGCTTTCACAAACAAAAGGAGGTGTATATGTTTAGATATTTATACTTACACATGTAATTTGTATGTATTACACATGTGCATTTGGACATGTATACCAAACTGCTAATATTTCTTACATACAGGACTTTGTCTGTTGCATGTATTTTTTACTAATAAAAATGTTAAAATTTGCCAGGCAGTGGTGGCGCACGTCTTTAATCCCAGCACTCGGAAGGCACAGCCAGGAGGATCTCTGTGAGTTCGAGGCCAGCCTGGTCTACAGAGTGAGTTCCAGGACAGGCACCAAAGCTACACAGAGAAACCCTGGCTCAAAAACCAAAACAAAACAAAAGTTAACGTTTTACATATCCTTATTGCTGGCTGTGTGTATGAGCATGTGTGTGCCGTGGCATCTGTCTGGAAGCCACAGGCCAACTTTGTGGAGCTGGCTCTCTACTTCCACCTTTCCGTGGGGTCCAGGGATTGAACTCAGGTTGTCAGGCATGAGAGGCAAGTGACTTTACCCACGGAGCCATCTTGCTGGCCCACTGATGCAACTTTTAAGTGAGCTCTTTTTTGTTTTGTAAGCCGAAGAAATAATTTTGTGTTTTATTCTGGGGAAAAATTAGTCATAATTATTCCATTCTTTTTCGTCCCCTTAATAAGTTTTCTACCACCTCTCTTTTGCAAACATTCCAAATTCCTGAAATCGTTCCTAAAGACACCCCTCAGCCACTCCAGTCCGCATGTTTCCTTTGGGAAACTGTTACTCACACTCTGACAGCTTTCTGCAGATTCCCACTCTCAAACCTGGATTCAAACAGTAGAGTATTATCTTCTGGCCCTTGCAACGTAACAGCAAGTTCCTTGATAATTCCTCGTTTGCCTCCTATTCTGGAGCTGGTGAAGTAGGCGCCTTCTGTGGGCACTGCAGGTGAGAAAGACACCGTTAGGCTACGTCCCACTCAGAATTCACTCATTCAGCAAGTCTTTCCTGAGCCCTACTAACCATAGAAATATTCAATGGATTGTTTGTTGTCCTTACCGGGACCCTTGATTTTATTGATGTTAGATGTTTTTGCATATAGTAGTGGTGCTTGAATACAGGTCCTCACTCTGCCAGGTCAGTGTTCTACCAATTAAACTCCATCTCTAGCAGAGGCCCTTAATTTTCAACAGTGCATCACTCTGAAGTTATTTATTTATTTATTTATTTATTTATTTATTTATTTATTTATTTATTATTTTAATTTTTGTTGTTTGTTTGTTTTTCGAGACAGGGTTTCTCTGTGCAACAGCCCTGGCAGTCCTGGAACTTGCTTTGTAGACCAGGCTGGCCTCGAACTCACAGAGATCCGCCTGCCTCTGCCTCCTGAGTGCTGGGATTAAAGGTGTGCACCACTGCCGCCCTGGCACTCTGAAGTCCTTTAAATGGTTTAGAGCACATCCTTCGGCTTCAGGGCTTCCCTTGGCATTGCACACCCTGCTGGTTTCCATCTAAGCCCTGGTTTTAAAGGATGTTGATAAAAACTGAACTCTGGAGGAGGAGAAGGTAGAAGAACTGCCAGGCCATACAGCAAAATTATATCCAAACGTCAAAACCCAAACCACCAACCCTGACATCCTGTGGATGAAATGGGACGAAATTAAAAACAGTGGTGTTCTGGCTGCTTCCTAAAGGGGATTTGAAAATGTCCGCATGCAATCTTACTCTACAAAACCTCAAGTAGGACCTATCAATTTTTAAAAAGGTAATGGAAAATAAAGTATATCGCACACAATGTTTTGGAATATTCTTCCAGAATAAAATGAAGAAGGAAGTTTGAGAAGAATTGGCATGGGTAAGTTTGCCTAGAGGAGAATCAAAATGTCAGGAATTAGTAAAAATAAAGGTTATGGTGAGCATTTTATCCTTAAAACAAAGCTAGGGGGCTGCTCTGGTACAAGATGGGAGTTTGGCTCCCAAGTGCCCAGCTGAGGAGCACATAACTGCCTGCAACTCTAGTTCCAGGGGATCCAGCAACCTCTTCTGGTCTCTAACATGCCACTCACATACACACAGACACATACCTACACACAGATAGACATAATTAAAACTAAAAACCCTTTAAAAGAATGCTTGAGCACTATCCATTAACTTTTTTAAAGTATAAAACAAAGCTATGGCAGGAAGTGACACTTCAGAACATTGGGGTCAGCCATCGAGATGCTCAGTGGATAGGGATGCTTGCCACCGAGCCTGATGACTGGAGTTTGGTCCCAAGGATCCGCATGGTGAAAGCAGAGTACCAGTTCTTACAGGCTGTTCTCTGATCTCTAAACATGTGCTGTGGTACATGCCCTCCCCCCAAATAAATAAATGTAACTTTTAAAAACAAAACATCAAGCTGAGTGGCGGTGGTGGCACACGCCTTTAATCCCAGCACATGGGAGGCAGAGGCAGATAGATCTCTGTGAGTTCGAGGCCAGCTTGGTCTACAGAGCAAGATCCCAGAAAGGCTCCAAAGCTACACAGAGAAATCCTGTCTCAAAAAACAAAAAACAAACAAACAAACAAACAAAAAGAAAAAAAGAAAAAAGTAAAAAAGAAAGAAAGAAAGAAAGAAAGAAAGAAAGAAAGAAACGAAAAACAAAAAACAACAACAAAAAAACCCCTTCTGAATTCTTAGAATAATAATAAATTGCTAAAGAATTTTTCATGGCTTTGCTGACAAACTCCATGAGAGCATTACATCATTAATTCAGTTAAGAGTATTCCATCATCAATTTTTTTTAAAAAAAAAATTCTTTTGAGACAGAGTCTCTCTGTGTAGCTGTGGCTGGCCAGGAAGTGGCTGGCCTCAACTCACAGAGATCTGCCTGCTCTGCCCCTGTTGGTATTAAAGGCTTGTGCCACACGAAGCCCGACCTCTCAGTTTTCTTTTGTTGTCTTTTTGAGCCAGGGTCTCGTGTGTTCAGGCTGGCTTGGACCTCCACACAGCGGAGGAGATGCTTGGGCTTCTGACCCCTGCTTCTGCCTCCTCTGTGCTGTCTACTCTGGTGCTGCGATGGAGCCCAGGTTTTGGGGACTGCTGAGCAAGCACTTTCCCAGCTGAGCTCTGTTCCCAGGCCAGCATCCTCCAGTTTTGCAGTTCCTACTGAAAAGGTACTCAGATCTTCATAGTTTCAAAGATTTCTCTTTGTCCCACAGCATTGTTAGTATTGTGTCCTTGAAGAACCTACTTTATCAGCTTAAAAATTTATTTTCTCACTTATTTGTCAATGACTTTGTAATTTAAGCAATTTTTAAATATATATAATATACTTCATAAGATTCTGAATTTCTTATGCAGATTGTCACAATGGTAAGCAATTTTTACTATACTTTCATTATATTTATATAAATGTTATAATATTCATTATATATTTCAGATGTTAACACACCAAGCCAAGATACTGCTATCAAATATGTTGACCCTGGAGCATCAACCAAACAGCAGTGTTTGTAAGGAATCTGACTTTTTTCTTAATTAATTAATTTTATTACACTCATGACATTAATTACATATGTGGTATTCATAGATAACATTCACAGTATTCATTCAATAATTATATTTATGATATTCATTAATTACATTAGTTATATTGATTTTATTACATTCATGATATTATGTCCTGATACTACTGTCCATTTGTAGGGTTTTTCCATTACACAAAACAGAGATTCTGTACTTAGTAAATCACTTCTCTATATTCCTTTCTTCTATATCTTGAGATAAGGGGAATCTGACTTCTTTTAAATTTATTTTTTATTCATTTGTATGTGCATGATACATGTGCATGCTACATGTGCATGTAAGTTCCCATGGAGACCAGAGGAGGGCGTTTGATTCTCTGGAGCTGGATTTAAAGGAGGTTTCGAGCCACCCACTGTGGATGATGGCAGCCAAACTCAGGTCTTCTGGAAGAGCAGCAAGTGCTCTTACTGCTGAGCCATCTCTTTGATGATGTATCCTCAAGGATATATGCATATGTTTAATCATCTAATCATATATATGCATGTATGTATGTGTGTATGTAGCCCTGGCTGGCCTTGAACTCACAATGATCTGCTTGCCTCTGCTTCCTGAGTGCTGGGATTAAAAGTGCGCACCACCACTCCCAGCCTCAGGGAACTGACTTTCATAACTGGTCCTTCTGACAACTTTTGCTCCCATATGCAATCTTGTCACTGTAGAGTTTGGATAACAGCTGGAGCATAAACTGTAACCGGAGAAAATACGCATGAAAAGACGCCATCAGGAGAAGAACATAAGCACAGAGGAGGCAGGAGCAGAAATAAAACCAAGGGTGCGTAAGCACAGCGCAACTGAAAGCTGCGAGGCCGCAGCTTCTTCATGGAACTGCAACGTACAGTGTAGCAAAGAGATGCCGTTAATACGGAAATTTCATTCTTCTGTTTAATATTTCAAAGTTACATTTAAGGTGGTCTAACTTCTGTAGCACAGTAACATTCGTTAAAACAGACCAACGTGCCAGGTATGGTGGCACACACCTATAACCCCAGCACTCGGGTGGCAGAGGCAGATAGTTGGGTCTCAATGAGCTCAAGACTAGACTGGTCTACAATATTGAGTTTCAGGCCAGCCAGGGCTACGTGGAAGGACCCCGTCTCAAAAATGAATAAACAAATAAGTGAAAGAGAAAAGGAAAAAGAAAAATGTACCATCATTTAAAGAGGAATTATTGAAGCCAGGCAGTAATGGAAGAGGCCTTTAATCCCAGCACTTGGCAGGGGAAGAGTGTTGGGGGGTGGGGTGCAGAGGCAGGCAGATCTCTGTGAGTTCGAGGCCAGCCTGGTCTACAGAGGGAGTTCCAGGACAGCCAGGGATACACAGAGAAACCCGTGTGGAAACAAACAAACAAGTAAATAAATGAACTATTGAAAATGTACAGCTGATGAGTCATGACTATCAAGGTTTCCATACAGGCCAAGATAGATACTTACCATTAAGGTGTCAATTTTTAAAGTCACTCTTAGGGCCAGTGAGATGGTTCAAAGAGCAAAAGTAAAGGAACTTGCCATCAAGCCTGACAACCTGAGTTCAAACCCTCAGGAGGACAAGAGTGGCTTTCAGAACTTGACCTCTGACCTCTGTCTGTTTGCACCATGGTGTACCTTCTCCCACACAATATATCTTTATTCATACAAAAATAATTGTTCTAAAAAAGAAAAATCATTTTTATGGCTAGCAAGACTGCTCAGAGGGCAAAGGAGCTTGCTGCGTTGCCCTGGTGATGCGAGTTTTCCCCTGGGAACCCACATGAAGGGTCAAGAGAACTGACTTAGGCTGTGCTCGGACCTCCACACTGGCACCGTGGCACGTGTGCCTATGAACACACAGACACAGAAATGCATTTTTAAAAATTAAAATCACGTTAATTGTGCACACTAAGTTTATTGTAAGTAACTTACAATACCTGAATCTAACTGGTAAACGACTGTGCCTTGCTCTTCTCCCACAATCTCTGGTTCCTTTTCATCCCCTGTAGGCTGGTAGAAATATTCTGGTTCAGGTGGAACCCACTCTGAAAGAAGATATTTTCAAAAGTACAGAATAGGAGACGATATATGGGGCACAATCAAAATTAACATACAATTGTAACTACTAAAATGATGACTGTTGCTCAACCCAACCTAATTCTCATTCCAAACTTCCAGCCTGTTTCTAAATTGTCACACTTCTTTCCATAATGGCTATGGGCAGATGCTGAGCAAGCAGCATGTGCCTAGATGCATGGGGTCCTGAGTGTGACCACGGTGCTTGATACTGATACAGTAAAATCATAAATTTGATTTAAAGTGTGTGTGTGTGTGTGTGTGTGTGTGTGTGCGTGCGCGCGTGCGTGCGTGCGTGCAGGAGCTCTGAGGCTAGCTTTCAGGAGTTTGTCTCCTTTCCTGCCTGTTTAAGGCGATGTCCCTGGTTTCTTCTCTTGGACTATGTATTCAAGGCTAGCTGGACCTCAAGCTTTCAAACAATTCTGTCTCCATCTCCTCCTAAGAGTGCTGGGATTACAAATGTACAATTACAAATATCGAACTTTTTACAAAGATTCTGGGGTTCAAACTCAGTTGATCGGGTTTGTTTGGTTAACAATCTCTCTTTCCCCCCAAATCATAAATTGTAAATAGAAAACTTAAAATATGCCAGAAAGGTCAATATAAATGGTTGCGATTTGCCCCTGTGTGTGTGTATGTGAATGTGTGCCAAGGGTGTGCAGGTGCCCATGGAAAGCAGAAGATGGTGTTACTGGTATTGGAGTTACAGTTGGTTAATAAAGTAAGATAAAATACCAGGACTACACGCACACTCCGCATGCGCGCGCACACACACGCACACACGCACGCACGCACGCACGCACGCACGTCGTATTACCAATATGGTGAATGTTTTCCTTGATGACCTCACACTCTATCGGCCATTTTGGAGCCTGCAGTGGCCCCCGACTGGAGAAGAAGGAGAAGAGCTCCCGGGGTTCTCGAAGACGCGGGTTCACTTCGTCTAGCTCGTCATAAAGAAGCTGTCTGCTCCTAAGGAGTGGTGAACTCAGCATAAGCGGATCTGCCCAAAGGAAAAGGAAATACCTGAACAACTTCCTTTCCACGCTGACGGCCTTGCTGCTCTTCTGTAGTAGCGGGGTAATTTTAAACAGCGTATTAAGACATTCGCAATCTGTGTGTGGCAGGCAGTGCACAGCTTTAATCCCAGCTCTTAGGAGGCAGAGGCAGGCAGATAGACTTCTGTGAGTTTAAGGCCAGCCTGGTCTACACAGAGTTCCAGGCTAATTAGGAATATATAGCGAGATGCTATTGTGCCACACCCCCAACCAATAAAAAGGTTAAAAAATAGACTAAGATAACAGATAAAATTAGACTATTAAGTTAAAATTCTGCAAATCTATATTTTTTTTAAATCTTAGACCCATTTTTTTAAATGGGTCTAAGACCTCTCAACAGTGGGCTACATAATATGTAATATAATACATAAAATGCCTTATTATTTTGTGCTTGTTCAGGTGACAAGAGAGGACTTTGAATTCTCCTATCAGCATTATGGGGAAAGCACAAAAAACTTCACTAACTACAGAGAAAGAAGCACAGATCTAAATTCAGTCTCCAGGACACAGGCAAAAATGTGGGGCATGGTGACCAAGGCATGTTGACAGCATCTGAGGATGTCATGTTGTCCTCCAGCCTACACAAACACACACACACACACACACACACACACACACACACACTTCTTTAAAAAAAAAAGAGACAGACAGATAGTAAGGAAGAAACAGAGAGAGGAAGAAAGGAAAGAAAAAATGATAAAAGAATTCCCAAGTGCTGGGGATTCCCAGTGACCAGTTGGTAAACTGTTTGCTGTGCAAGGATAAGGCCATGAATTCAGATGCTCAGAACCCATGTAAGACACAGGCATAAAGGTGCACATCTGTAATCCCAGTTTGGGGTGGGTCAGAGGAAGGTAGATCCCTGGAGTTCACTGGCCAGATAATGTAGCCAAATCAATGAGTTCCAGGTACAATAAGAGGGACCTTGTCTCAAAAAATAAGGTTGGAAGGGATAAAGACATACAGCATTGACCCCT